TAWTTWRRAWTTTTTYMWTTTTTTTTTCTTATACCTTTATTCATATTTAATATACTTGCTTTTGCGAGTGAGAAAAAATAATGTTACTCACCGTGTGGTTTTTGTCTTGTAAATTAGCATTTTTTTTTACTTTTTTGCCGTTTTTGTGGCTAGTATCTCGTTACGAGGCTCACCACACTATGCTATCCCTTTCTGTGTGTAATATTTGCCCTATCGCATAATTACGTCACATCAAAACATTCTATTGTTTTTAACGCTAAGTATTATGGTCGTCAGAGGGGATCAGAGTGCCTGCATATCAAATATAATACACTTCTTGAATACTCAGGTTCAGTGACCACGAACAAAGCATTGAACTGAGGCTCAAGGAACACTGAACGCAAGGAACACTGAGCACAGATCTTTTCTTTTATGTTTCACTGTACCTTGACGCCTCGGTTCAATGAGTATGGAAAGTTGTGAATGTAGATGAGATATCATTGATAAATGATGTACATCAAAACTCGATACACTAAAGTTCTTATTTCGGAAGGAATGTTAATAGGTCCAAATTTCGAGTCTTTCTGAGAATCTATTGACAATGTAAATATACTGTGACGTCATTATGCCATGGGGCAATTTTCATGAAATGATATATAATATTGTAATCAGTATAATAATTTTTTTTTTATTTTCGCCATTATCTCAGGTCTTCGTAAATTCCAAGAAGAATGCTTATTTGCACATAACGAGTTTCGAGTATTACATGGATCTCCGCCTCTTCACTGGTCCCCCTCCTTAGCATGGGCAGCGCAGCAATGGGCCGAGGAGCTAGTRCGCATGGGCGAACTCAAGCACAATGACGACGAGATGGTTGGAGAGAATTTGGCGGGAATGGTGGGGGACGAGCTGACTGGGAAGGAGTGTACTGACATGTGGTATGATGAAGTTTCTGAGTACGACTACGACAGCCCGGGTTATAGTGAAGATACCTCCAACTTTACACAGGTAAAAGTGTCTGTCTGTCTGAATAAATGGCTGTCTTTCTGGTGTTTTGTCTCAGTTTTTTTTCCGTTTTACTCTCATGACTCATTATTTCAGTAAGTTATTCCACCTACTTTTTTACGGTGTTAAATTTATCTTTTTACAAAACAGTTTCTTTAGATACACCGACGCAGGTCACACTAGTTTACCTCTAGTTCCCACCATTTTCATTATTTCAGTTTTTTCTGGTGTGTCGTAGTTTCATTTTTCTGGTCTTTCTATCTTTATTTCCGCATTCTTCTTTTCTGTTCTGTTTGCCTGGTCTTAGTTTTATTTTTCTGGTCTTTCTATCTTTATTTCCGCATTCTTCTTTTCTGTTCTGTTTGTCTGGTCTTAGTTTCATTTTTCTGGTCTTTCTGTCTTTATTTCCGCATTCTTCCTTTCTGTTCTGTCTGTCTGTCTGCCTCGTCTTAGTTTTATTTTTCTGGTTTTTCTATCTTCATTTCTGCATCCCTCCCTTCCTGTTCTCTTAGTCGGTCTTTGTTATAGTTAATCTGTCTTCTTCAAGTGTCTTTGTATGTCTGTCTGTATGCTAAATGTACACGCTTTTAGAATTGATTTTAAATTGATTTTTGACGTTAAATAAAAGAAAATTTTTGAAATGATAACAATGATTATTAACGAATTACTAATAACTGATTGAACAAGATCATAGAGTTGTTTTCCATAACTCTTTGAAACAGATTATATATTGTACATTTACATCTTATAAATGGCTAAATCAATTGTTTTGTATTCTATTTCACGGTTTTCGTTTTTTTAATCTTATCTTGTACAATATCAGGTGTATATTTAGTGTTTTAAAATCCGCACTTAATGATACATGAAACACGTGGAAGATAGCATCAAATATCACGCTGTGTTACAAATTATATCAAAATTGTCAGGCCGTACCGTTATATATATCACACACAAAGACTCATGTCACGGAAACAAAGGCGACAACACCTTAACAAACGACCTTTCGCTCACTCGAAAACATAACTGCATCTGTTGACGAATTCAGYGTTATTTGCTATGGACTAAGTTTCAAAGCRTGTATTTCACGWTTTTTGCGGTGGTTAAACGACGTTCTATAGACGATAGCAAAGGTTTGTATTTTTCTTCGTTTTGTGTCGGGTATTTTAGCGTTTTTAGGTGTCCATAAATTCAGTATGTTTGGCAGTGGTATAATGTGCTCTKGCAGGTGATCATATTCATAAAACGAAGCTGTATTTTACTGTATTGAGCTTTTCAAATTCCTATTTGACATACTTATTTTGGACTAGAAAATTAATGCAATTTTGTTCGCTTCATATTTTTTTGTTTGTGGTATGGTGGTTCAATATTTTTAATGTCATATGCTAACAGTTCATTGATGTAGGAATCTTTTAATGCAACTCGTGATATAGAAAGCGTTTATAGAAGATTTGTGCTCGTTTTTGTGATTTAAAATGATTTCCAGGGAATACGACGAATTTTGAATTCGACTCATGTGAACAATTTGACTTTTACTATCAAGTATGCAAAAATAAAAATAAAATAAATAAATTTTTAATTTAAAAATTTGGAAAAAAATGTTTACAAAAAATTTGTTTTAAAGCCACTAAATTGTTACTTCAAGGAAAACCATTGAAAAAATTTCTGGAAACCATTCAAATGACCCAAGTGTTTCTGGAAACCATTCAAATGATCCCATATTTCTGGAAACCATTCAAGTGACCCTAAATTCCAGTAAACCTTTCAAGACCCAAGTGTTTCTGGAAACCATTCAAATGACCCCATATTTCTGGAAACCATTCAAGTGACCCCATATTTCTGGAAACCATTCAAATGACCCAAAGTGTTTCTGGAAACCATTCAAATGACCGTATATCTGTAAACTTTTCAAATGTTAGTAAATCAATAACTTCTTATTTAGGTTGTTTGGATCGGTAGTGAGTTATTTGGTGTKGGTCGAGCTACATATGGTGACTTGTGTGTCGTGGTGGCGTTCTATGAGCCGCCTGGCAACATGGAGGGCTTGTTTGCCGATAATGTTCGTAAAGCTGGCACAAGAGTGAAGTCCTACAGACTTATCAAGGAAGCAAAAACTTTTATACCTCCCTCCCCTGGTAAGTCGATTGTAATACATTGAATATTCACCTTGTGGACACCTCCGTATTACGGACACCTCTATATAACACACACCTTTATATTACGGACACTTCTTTTTTACAAGCGCCTCTATATTACAGCCACGTCTATATCACGAACACCTCTATATTACGGACACCTCTATATTACAGACACCTCTATATTAC